CTCGTTCGTCCATCCGGCCGACTGCGGGACTGCGCAGGCGTATCGAAACGTGTATAGGTTCCGGCCGTCCGGCCAAATTACCAGACGGTTTAATTTTATTTCACAGTCCACGTGTTTATACTACACTGCATATTGCACTGCTCTGCACTTTTTTGAAGTTTTGTCATTAAAAAAATGTCTCGAGAGAAAGAATCTCAGTGTATTGAAGATTTTATTAATATTTATCGAAGCGAACATTGTTTGTGGAAAATAAAATCTAGAGAATACCATGATAAATGCAAAAGGGACGCTGCCTACAAACTTTTAGTTGAAAAGCTAAAAGAAATTGACTCTTCTGCAACGAAGTCAGTGGTAGTAAAAAAAATAAATAACTTGAGAAGCAGCTACCGGAAAGAGTTAAAAAAAGTAAAGGAATCAACTAGGACAGGATCAGGAGCAGACGATGTCTACCAGCAGAAATTATGGTACTTCAATATGTTAAGTTTTCTTGACGACCAAGACACACCACGTAATTCGCGTTCAAATATTGAAAGTGATGACGAGAATAGTGTCTCTGAAGTAAGTTTAATTGAAATAAAATGAACTAAGTTAAATTCAATATTTACTTGATAGTTGATATTTTTAGATAGATTATATTATTATTTATAAATTGATATTATGTTATTACCAATTTAAGATTTATTTTGGTAGTGGTGTGGTGCTATCTGCTATCTACATACATCAACAATTTTATCTTCTTTCGCAAATTGTTTATTTATAAAAACAACACACAATTATAAATAATAATATTATAAAAATTATTAATAATTATATAATAATATTGTTAATAATAATGATAATTAAAAAAAATCTCATAATGAGATATTTCTCTTTTTTAATCACAATAAAATTCATTCAGAATTGATTATTATTAATAAATAATAAATATGCAATATTGTATAATATTATATAAAAAAAAATATGTATTTAAATATTAGTAAACAAAGTTAAGTTGCCAGGGAACTTTTCCTTCATTTGAAAAGTAACTCATAAAATCTTCTCTAACGTTTTTAGCAGCATTGTTTGTGTTTCCTTGCGTTCTTCGGTCTAGTCTATCCATGTTTGAATCTTGTGAATCAAGCCCAAAAGTTGTTATTCCATTTTCTATATCATCGTGATCCAAAACTTCTGTAGGTGCATATATGTTTGGCGCTGACTTCATTAAAAAATTATGCAGTACGCAACAAGCCATAACAATAGAATCAATATTTTTCGGTTCTAAATTAATTTGTGTGTGGAAAATCCTAAACCTTGCTGCCATGATACCAAAAACATTTTCGACAATACGTCTTGCCCGTGATAACCGATAGTTGAATACCTTTCTTTCAATAGAAACTAAAGCAGCTTGTCTGAATGGTTTCATTATATTTATCTGCAAAGGAAATGAATCGTCTGCCACAAACACGTATGGTAGCTTTCTAGAAGTATCTTTGACTGTCTCCATGTCTGGAATTTTTAAATCTCCATTTTGAAATTTTTCATAAAATTTCGTGTTGTTTAAAACACCACCATCCGAAATTCTACCGTTCGTTCCGAAATCGCACATTATAAATTGGTAATCTGCATTGACTATTGCCAATAGAACCATACTATGACGGCCTTTATAATTAAAGAACTCCGATCCACTTCCACTTGGAGGAACAATGCTTATGTGCTTTCCGTCCATAGCCCCTAGGCAATGCGGAAAATTCCAATTTTTCTCAAAACGTTGAGAAATATTTCTCCATTCTTCTGATGTTCGTGGAAACTATAAATAAAAAAACGGTGGGCAAGTGGGTGTCGCTCTGCTGTACAGTAGGTTACAAGTGGGTCACTGTATAATGGATGGTATTAAATTTGAATTCAATGATATAATATCATTGTATAAGAAAAACGATTCTGAGCGGTGACGGTATGTCAGTCTATGTATAAGACATATTATATACATATCTATGGTATTAAACAAAAATTGACCTATAATAGGTACCTATAATAAATTCCAAATTAATCATATCACAATATCCATTAGATACTTATAACACGTTATACATCAACAAAAACCGTGATACTATCATAGATATACATATAATAGTACACTTTAGAAGTTTCAAGTACCCACGAATAATATTATTCAATCACAACAAAATAACTAAAATAGTTATTCTAGGTTTTTTAATATGTAATTTCGTCCAAATTTGAATTTAAAATGTCTGTAAAAAATAAGTGTGTTCATATATTTTTTAGATTTTTTGGTTACAGTATGAACTATTTACGAGAACCTTTGTGTTGAATTTGCAATCCTTAGCTATAAAAACTGAACATTTTATAATTTATTAATTACAATGATTGATAATTTTCGAGATTTTGATAAATTTTGTCAAAATTTGATCTTTAAATGCTTATAAAAAAAAACTGTGCCTATGTATTTTTAATATTTTTCAACTGCTATTGTAACAATATATCAGGAGCCTTGTATTAAATTTTTACACTTTTTGGCCCAACAGATAAAACTTTATTGATATTTATAGAAAAAAAAACTAAAAAAAATTGAAAGCTGTAAATGTCCATAAACAGCTCAAAAAGAGTCAAAATATTTTCAAAATTGTATGGTGTATAGGAAATGCTAATATAAACATTCAGTGAAATTTTCATGCATCTACAGTTATTCGTTTTTGAATTACAACAAAATAAGGAAATCGCTACATGAGAAATCGAGTGAAAATCCAATGTTGTAAAAATTTGAATTTCAAACGCTCATAAAAATTTAATTTGACTGTCCGGTAGAGATTTTTTTATTGATAAAGGTAGATAATCTTATAAGGAATCTTGTGTTTCATTTTCAAATCTTAGATTTAAAAGAAAAATTTTTACGAATTCTTAACTCAAAATAATTTGCTAATTTTCGTGATTTTTCCATATTTTGTCAATTTTTGAACTTTAAATGCTTATAAAAAAAAATTGTGACTAAGGATTTTTAATATTTTTCATCTGCCTTTGAAACAACATATTAGGAGCCTTCTATTAAATTTTCAAGCTTTCGCAACCAACAAATAAAATTTTATTGATATTTTTAGAAAAAAAACTAAAAAAAAATGGAAAATGAAAATGTCCCTAAACAGTTCAAAATAAATCAAAATATTTTGAAAATGTTATCGTGTATAGAAAATTCAAATATTAACAACCAGTGAAAATTTCATGTATATACGTTCATTTGTTTTAGAGTTACACCAATAACCAAAATCGATTTTTTGGAAAACCAATTTTGCGTAAAATTCCCGTTTTTCCTTAATTTTTATGTTGTTTTTCCCGGCGCTTGTGAAAACTACTGGGAAACGTTTACTTTTGACCCCCCAAAGTACCAACTAGATTCACTTTCCTATCAGAAAAGGTACTATTGAAGAAAATCGAAGCACTTTTACTGTCCCAAATCGTGATGACAGACACAAAAAAAAATATAAAAATATAAAAATATAAAAATATAAAAATATAAAAATATAAAAAAACACACATCATTGTAAAACCAATACATTCATCGCTCCGCTCAGAATCTAAAACGGGTAAGCACTAAGTGGATGTTGTTTTTTGGTTACTATAAGTAGTACGTAAAATCATATTTTACTTTTTCAAAATTTAGCTATAAAAGTTAAACATTTCATAAATTATACTATTACATTCGATTTGTATAGGTTTTTTTTTTAAATATTATTACTATTAAAGTAATTTATTTACTATTAGACATTAGTATCTACTACAGTAGGTTAAAATAAGATCATAATATTTCTTTAAGTAGTAAAGTTGTTATATTTTATGTAGATAAAGGTATTACATTTAAATACAACATATAAAACGTTTTGGAAATAATAAATACATATATTCATAAAATACTAGCGATGCCGATAATTTTAATTAAGTATCAAATTTGCCGACTAAAAAACTAAATATTCATAATTGGGGGGTGAGACACCTCCCCCCCAAGCCCCCCTCTAAGAACGGTCTGATTGTAACAATATATTTGGAGCCTTGTATTAAATATTAATTTCCTAGTTTTTTAACAAATAAAATTTGATTGACATTTATAGAAAAAAAATACATATATTTATATCACATACTATTGAAGTATTATCTATACATATTATTATTTATTTAATAAAAAAAACCTTGATACCATTTTAAATAGTCGTATTTTTTTAGGGAGAAACACAATCAGTTACCACTAATTCACCAGACCGTGATACAGAAAACCTAAATGCATCGATTTTCACTATAAGTACACCAGCATCAATATCACATGAAACTCAACGCATTCGCCAAAGACCACACAGAAATACATCAGATCAATCTGCTCTAACAAACGAAGTTTTGCTTAGTGTAAAAGACCATTTCAAGCAGCCCCAAATAAAAGACGATCGTTTTGATGTATTTGGCAAAAACGTTGCTATGAAGTTGCGTGATTTATCTAATTCCCAGAGAGTTTTGGCCGAAAAACTCATCAATGACATTCTATTTGAAGCTGAAATGAATAATTTAACTATTTCACACAAGTTGGTGCAACAAAACCAACAAAACTATGGACCATATAGTTATGATTCAGCTTCTCCTTCAACAAGTCATTCCACTGGCAGCGATAAAAGTTGTAAAGTATAAAATTACCCACAAACACGGATTCAGACGGAGTTCAACAATCAATCGTTTATTCCATTCGATTCAGTGCAACATTCGCCTCAAATTGAAAGTTCACCAGAGAACTCTCTACACACACTTGCATCTTATATTTCCAATTTTACTAACGATAATAATAATAACCATTGAGTTTTAGTTGTAGTTTTCATAATTTAAATTATCTACTATATTATTATAGTGATAAAAAAGTAATAATTTTTTTTTTCATCATCTATTTTTTTAGTACCAAAAAAGGGATTCAGTTTTTTTTTATTTTTCATGCTTTTTCTTATAACTCATTGTTATATTTAAAAATAAAGGATTTAATATATGTTATGTTTGTAAGCTGTTAATATTATTTTCATAACGAAAAATGTCCTTACCTTTAAGTAATCTTTATGTAATACTTTGTACATTGCTTCACACGTTTCAGGTATAATATACCCAAGAGCTTGTGGTGATATAATAGTTGAAAATTTAAGGTCTTCGTAACTTCTTCCCGTAGCTAAAAATCTGAGAGTTGCTGTCAACCTTTCGTGTGGGGAGATTGATTTCCTCATAACTGTATCTTTTTTTTTAATGAATGGTGTCACTAATGAAAGAAGTTGGAAGTACGTTTCTTCGTCCATTCGCAAGTAATTATGCCAGTCTTTCGGAAACAACTTGAATTCGGTCAACAGATTAATGTGAGAATATTCGTTTCTTTTTTGTAACCAATTTTTACACCACAGTCTACGTTTACGTTTTTTAATTGCATTATTTTTCATGGCTATCAACAACCCTAAAACAGCAAGCGCGTCTTCGTTGGTAGCCATGTCTCTACAATATAAAATAATTAATACAATATAAAACTTGCCGCGGCCGGACAGATTCGCCGGAACGTATGGGGGCGCTGCGTCAGTCCGGCCGACCGGTCTCCGGCGGCCTGTGCAGTCATAACTGACAGGCTGACCGGACCGTGTGTGGCTACCTTAAAATAGTAAAAATATAGCAATCAGACATGTCAGTTATACAATTTAAAAATAGAATGTCTCTTTTATATAGGGCTGTCAGTTCATCACTATTTTGTATTTCCTAATATCTTTTACTTTATTATTCTGAAATACTATAACTATCAAATTTATGAATGCAAATAAGAATTTATTGGTATAAAGAAAACAAAATCAAATTATGAGCTGACAACATTAAAACTTAGAGCCCTCGTCACCTATATAAATGGTAAACTTTTAAACACCTATAATCCAAAAATAAAATATAATAGATAAATATACATAGGTACTAAATTCATGAGAGTTAGACGGCATCATAGATTTTTTATTGGTATTAGTTTGTAACATATTTTTTTTTGAAGATTTGACTGGCAACATATTATCATTTTCATTTTCATCAGAATCTAAAATAGTAAACATATAGCAATCAGACATATTAAGTTATACAATTTAAAAATATAATGTCTCTTTTATATATGGCTGTCAGTTTATCACAATTTTGTATTTCCTAATATCTTTTACTTTATTATTCTGAAATACTATAACTATCAAATTTATGAATGCAAATAAGAATTTATTAGTATAAAGAAAACAAAATCAAATTATTTCCGAACAACTTTAAAACTTAAGACCCCTCAATCAACTATTACAAATTGAATTGACCATCTTACAAATTACAATTATACTAACAAAACATATTTATAATTTATACATACTTTTAACACCATGCAAATTATCAACATCTTTGATCATTGTTTTTTTGTAATTTGGCGGACTTTTGTAAATATTTTTATTTTTGAGGTTTAATGATGAATTATTTTTTTTACTTTGCTTTTTATAATAAACGTCTTCATCAACCGATGATAACTCCGATGTAATTGTGGCTTTATTTGCTTTTAATTTAGCTTCGCTTAGAGAATCTGAAATTAAGTAAATAAAATAACATACTAATAATGTTAGGTAAGTGCCTTTTTGTTGAATATTTAAGTAGGTACACTGATACTTACATGTTTTTTCACCCATTTTCTTAGCTTTTAGTATTTCATGTCGAAACTCTTCAGGTTTTATATTTTATTCAATAAGTTTATTAATATTTTGACCTTTTTTGGGCCACACACAAGATCCATTACTATACCAAATGTTTGGTACTGCCTCCACAGAATATCATCGTCTTGGAAATCAACAAGAATTACTAAAAATAAATTATTTTAAGTATAATTAACAACTAAATAAAGAAATATTTTACTTTACAAGAAAAATATAGATTTAAGAAGAAATATTAATATTGATGAGAAATACTGTTAATATTTTTAAACAATATGTCAATATAGTATATATTCAAACAGGTACAATTACTATTATTTCATGGTGCTATCATAATATAAAATTGACAAAAATTAAAATTAAGAAAGTGAAACATATACACAATCATATTTATATTAGTTATAGTAATATTCAATAGTCACCTATTATCTTAAAATAAAAACTATAATTCACATGAATGAACTTCAGGCAATGTTATTGTTTTTGTGTTTTAATAAAATCATTTTTTTCTTGACATCTATAAGATACCAAAATGCATAGACATCATCCAATTCACTTACAATATATATATGGAACATTGATGAATTAATTGGTTGTTCAAAAAATAGTTTTTTAACTTTGAAAATTTTCCCGATCAGTACCGTGTCATTAGTATTTCTTTCAGTTGCAATGTTGTTTACATGTACAACATTGTCATCTTTTGTCAATATATAAGAATCTGATTCTCTTTTTGTTTTAATAACAAATCTGTTTAGATAAATTGTCCGGTATTGTGGGTCAGTAAGGTAATTTAATAATGGCCCGTTTGAATGCTGATGCTTTAAATTTATTTAAATTTTAAATTTTTTGTTTGTTTATTAATTGCTTCTTCGTGGTATCGTTTCACAACCTGTTGTAATGGTTTTACTTGTTTTCTTACTTTTTTTTTTTTAAATATTTCATAGTTTACAAATGGAAAACAACCTATATTATCTAGTGGGCCAAAATGTTTGTAACCGTCTACTAAATGCAAAAGCCCATGTACATTGTAAGATATTAAGTATGGTTCATAAATGGTTCCAAAGTACTAAACAAAATGATTCAAAAGTTGTTCTGAATAATAAATAAAATCTCCTTTGTTTGGACTCAGTAGTATTAACATCGCAATATTAAAAGACATAAAATGCTTATAGCAATCTTCATTTAAAATTCTTTTCAGAACTATTGGCCCTGTATACAATAAAAATTGTCTAAGTTCAGTAGCCTTCCATCTACTAATTTCATTTACGCCTCTTGGTTTTCGAGAAAATTCAGATGTCAAACAGGGTGCAAGTAATAAAAGGGATGTGGATAATATTTTAGTTTTAGAACTAGGAATTCTAACTTTTAATGGTCCATTGTCAATCCATAAAAGTATAATTTTCTTTGTAACACCAAGGCATGTAAGATGCATATAATCAAGAGTAGTATGATTTGGTATGTTCAGCAGCTCCTCCCCCTTAAATTTTACATGTAAAAGCATAGGCTTCTCTGTATAGGCAATTCGTAGTACAGGCTCCTCCCAAACTTGTATTAATTACTCAATATAGGCAACCCGCAACACACATAAACTCGTCACAAGCCACCCGATCCAACACGTGACCGACATATATTTTATGCCTTCCCCTTCAAATACATTACCTCCCCTTTTATTTACCATTTAAAAAATATATATAATATTCTGATGTACATTTGTATCGACTATATCGAACACTTGCCCGACATATATTTTACCCCTTCCTAATCAAATACATTACATACCCTTTTAAAAATATAAATATAATATTCTAATGTACATTTGTATCGACTATATCATACACGCTCATAATATAATATAAGGTAACAACATAACACATATCTAAAAATATTATACCATTTTCAGATTATAATCAAATTCGAATAAACATCTCGATAAAGCATACTTTATACATCGAAATGTAACACACACACACACACACACACATGGTCACAGTTATAAGAAATAAAACATTCCAATCCAACAAAGTACCACCCTAAATTATATTTTACACCCCGCCACCCGTCCTCACACCCTAACAACATCATCCGACTGCAGACCTGTACAAGCCTGTAGTGTCACGTCCGAGTATTGTCGATGAATTCCAGCCATAATGTATAGTGCACAGAGCAATATAAGATCAATCCGTTTACTACCGTTCAAGTGTCAAGTCGAGTTATTTCAGAGTTATTAAGTGTTTTTAAAGTGTATACAAATATTTTACAAGTATTATAAAAATCAAATTATTTATTTTACTTTAATGAACACCGTAGTTCATTTTTTCACCACTAGTTCTGATATTAGGGCATGCGACAATAATTCGCTTAGATAAAACTATTTCACATACTACGCATTCGAAAAAATAATTCAAGTATGTATGTTAATAAAAATGTTGGCAATTCACACGGCTATTATACTAATGTCTTGTACATACGTACGTCGCCAGGATGCGATTTACTTAACGATATTAAAATGCATATTAGTCAGTAATGTCCGATATAATTTCTTAACATTAGACTACAATGGTGCTTCCGTCATATATTTCCTGCCATTAGATATTATTCGTATTCAATATTTTTTCTACATTTTTAAACATTCCAATCCAACAGAGTACCAGCCTAAATTATATTTTACACCCCGCCACCCGTCCTCACGCTCTAACAACATCATCAAACTACAGACCTGTACAAGCCTGTAGCGACACGTCAGAGTATTGTCAATGAATTCCAGCCATAATGTATAGTGCACAGAGCAATATAATATCAGTCTGTTAAATACCGTTCAAGTGTCAAGTCGTGTTATTTCAGAGTTCTTATGTGTTTTTAAAGTGTGTACAAATATTTTACAAGTATTATAAAAAATCAAATTATTTATTTTACTTTAATGAACACTGTAGTTCATTTTTTCACCACTAGTTCTGATATTAGCGCATACGTTAATAATTCGCTTAGATAAAACTATTTAACGCTGTTATTTAAAGTACAATATACCTATTTTTCTATTATTCATTACACATCTATTCGTTGAAGGGTAAAGTCTTGTTTCGCGAGTTCGACTAGTGTTCTTCAGTTTTCTACAGACGTAATCATGTTTCCGTGTAGTATATGTGGTAAAACCTTTACAATGATTAAAAATCTACACAGACATGCCAAGTCACATGATGTTTCCAAAAAGATTTCATGCAATATATGCTCAGAAATATTCACGCGAAAAGATAACCTCATCAGACATACCAAGGATAAACATCGTAAGTATTTTTTTAACTATTTACAGATTTATTAGATAATATATATATATATAAAATCAAGGCTACGTATATCATGTTTAATTATTACATTAAAACTTATCTAAAAGTAATATATAATAATAAAGGTAATAAAAATGTAATTTATTCGATGAATCATTTTTTTTTAAGTATCTATAATTAATAATAATACTATTTTCAGATTCAAGTATTGTAATTCAACAAGAACCAACCATAACCAAGCGAGAAATTCAAGATTTTTTTAAACCAGCTGAACACATTTACGATTATAATGGTAAATATTTTATTCATATGTTTATTCACCTCCTATGATATAACAATAATATAAATAGGTATATATAATAATACAATATTATGAGTATCTTATTTTTCTATGAAAACGTATACATATTTAATATAATACCAATAAAAACATATATAGGCAGACTTTTTATTTAAAGATCTTAATAAACTATTACGAACGCCAGCGTATATTATACATCT